GTGTTTATCCTAAAACTTACAGTATAAAATACAGTACTAACAGCATAAAAAGTAAAGTAAAACATGAAATACCAAAATAAAACAATAAAATAAAGTCATTACAAAAATATTTTGTTGATATTCAGTAGTAAAGTTCGACGTATGACCATTTCGACTTACAACTGGTTTCTCGGAACCGAACTCGGTTGTAAGTCGGATGGTAGGTGTATTTGGTGTAATATGCAATATTAAAGTACAGTGGTCCCTCGTTTTTCGTAATTAATCCGTTCCTGGAGCCGTTACTATAAACAAAATTTACGATTTGCGAATCAATTTTCCCCATAAGAAATAATGTAAATACAATTAATCCGTTCCTGACACCCAGAAGTATTAAAACAAAAAAATTTTTTACATGAAATATACATGTAGTACATAAACAATACAATGGGAAATGATGAATAAAACATTAATAGCTTAACACTTACCTTTATTGGAGATTCTTCTTAGTGTATGGGAGACTGGAGGAGGAGAGAGATTGGATTGTTTACAGTTTGGAAGGGGAATCCCCTTCCAGCAACACCTCAGGTACCAATTGCTTCTCTGGGGTTGCTTCTCTTTGTTTCTTAATGCCACTTGGACCACCTTGAGAGTCACTCTAGTCTTGTCTCACAAAGTAACTGTGGAGAGAGCTCTGTTTCTGGCGTCTCTTTAACATTTCCCTAAAATGGCCCAAGACTGTCACTGTACATATTTCTCACCTTCTTTACCACAGGCTTGGCACTAGGAGCTTTCTTTGAAGCCATGGTAGCTTATTTAGTACTTGCAAGCAGGGTGTGCAAAAGAAGAAAATTAAAGGTGAATACAGGAAAGAGTAAGGTTATGAGGATAACAAAAAGATTAGGTGATGAAAGACTGAATATCAGATTGGAGGGAGAGAGTATGGAGGAGGTGAATGTATTCAGATATTTGGGAGTGCACGTGTCAGCGGATGGGTCTATGAAAGATGAGGTGAATCATAGAATTGATGAGGGGAAAAGAGTGAGTGGTGCACTTAGGAGTCTGTGGAGACAAAGAACTTTGTCCTTGGAGGCAAAGAGGGGAATGAATGAGAGTATAGTTTTACCAACGCTCTTATATGGGTGTGAAGCATGGGTGATGAATGTTGCAGCGAGGAGAAGGCTGGAGGCAGTGGAGATGTCATGTCTGAGGGCAATGTGTGGTGTGAATATAATGCAGAGAATTCGTAGTTTGGAAGTTAGGAGGAGGTGCGGGATTACCAAAACTGTTGTCCAGAGGGCTGAGGAAGGGTTGTTGAGGTGGTTCAGACATGTAGAGAGAATGGAGCGAAACAGAATGACTTCAAGAGTGTATCAGTCTGTAGTGGAAGGAAGGCGGGGTAGGGGTCGGCCTAGGAAAGGTTGGAGAGAGGGGGTAAAGGAGGTTTTGTGTGCGAGGGGCTTGGACTTCCAGCAGGCATGCGTGAGCGTGTTTGATAGGAGTGAATGGAGACAAATGGTTTTTAATACTTGACGTGCTGTTGGAGTGTGAGCAAAGTAACATTTATGAAGGGGCTCAGGGAAACCGGCAGGCCGGACTTGAGTCCTGGAGATGGGAAGTACAGTGCCTGCACTCTGAAGGAGGGGTGTTAATGTTGCAGTTTAAAAACTGTAGTGTAAAGCACCCTTCTGGCAAGACAGTGATGGAGTGAATGATGGTGAAAGTTTTTCTTTTTCGGGCCACCCTGCCTTGGTGGGAATCGGCCAGTGTGATAATATAAATAAAATAAGCACTGAAATGAGTGGAATATTATGAAATATTTAGTAGGAGCACTTGAGGGGACCTTCACTCACTGGTAAACAATGCCAGACTGGCTGGGTAGGGAGGCTGCCCCGGCTCACACCGTGCATACGCATCCCAGACGAACTACTATTCGCGAGTCAACCTATGAAAAGCGAGTCCATGTTTATACGAAAATACCCCTATGATTGGCGAAATTTACGATTGCCGAGAACTACGAAAAGCGAGGGACCACTGTATTCCTAGTTGAGGAATATGTTTAGCCCCTATGGTTTCTTGGAGAGAAGACCATAATAAAGGACACAGTCTTTAACAACACAAGCCAAGAGAGTTATAGCAGCATATTTATGATTTAAAGACCTGCGATTCCCAAAACAGGGTACAAATCAGCAAAGCTTCAATGTACATCCACCTGTCTTGGAAACATTCAGCACCTGGCTTATGAAGCTTATGTCAGCTACACTCAGACACTTAATTACTACTACTATGTGAACAGGAGCAGCAGGTTTAAGGAAATTTTTCCCATGTCTTGCCAAAGATTCAAACCCAGTTCTTTTCACTTGTGAGCTAGATTTATTTACAGAACAAAAAATTAACTAAACATAAGAAGAGATAGGCCAAGTCTCAAAACTACTACTCGGCAGAACTCGGGCATTAGTGTACATTCTACAACACATACAATTTATGCACAACATCGAATAGTAATTATTTTTTTGTGAAAATTTTTAATTTGGGAAATATTAGTACACTAATTTTAGTTTTGCAGCATGTGTAAGTTAAAGCTGAGTCTGTCACATGCCAGCAGATTACCAAGACATGCCAATACTGATGGCAGGATTATGGTCAAGTCACATTACCATTTGCACAACAAAATATCATCTCAACTGCAAAACAAACTTATTATTGTATGAGTAAAACTATACAGTACTGTAATTAATGGTCTAAATCCACCAAGTAACAGTCATATACCTTTCTCAAAGAGATTTATGGTTTAAATACTGAAGGTCATAAGTAGAGAAAACTGACAAAGCATAAAAAATTAATATTTTATATAAAGTCAGTTATGCAGTAATATTAACCCTTTCAGTTGCCATCACATAGAACTACGTACGTCATTGAAGACAGGGTCCCTCAAGTACAGGCAGGGCCCGCTTTACGGCACTTTGCTTTACGGCGTTTTGGTAATGCAGTGGTTTTCAATTAAGCTCATTCTTCATTTATTCAGACTTCCTACAATATATATATTCACCACTTACTATAAGTGAAAGATAAAAATATTTTGTAAGGTAAATAATGTGTGTACTGTACAGATACTCCCCTACTTACTAACATGGTTGGTTCCAAGTGGTCATTCTTAAGTCCAACACATATATGTAAACAGTACTGTACAGTAGTGTAGTATATGTACATATGAGTACACAAATAACCAGCACATATGAGGGAGTAGCTTACAACTGCATTTCGGCCTGACTTGGACCATTTACAAAGTCACACAGTGTGACTTTGCAAATGGTCCAAGTTGGACTGAAACGGCATCATAAGCTCCTCTCTCCTATGTGCAGGTTATTTGTGTATTGTTCCAAGCACAGTATTGTGCTGCCTTTTTGTTCTTTATGTATGTATGAACATCAAGTAACCTAGAAGTTTACACAGTTTAGGCATATACATGAACACAGGAAAAATACATGCTGTACACTAGTAAACAAAACATGTGAACAGGTGACGTTCACCATCTATTCACCTCACTCTACTTTATTATGTCCACTTTTGTTTCCATTGTGATGTCCTGACACTTCTTAACACTACTACCTGCATCACCACTGCTTTTGTGCTTAACACCAGACATACTGGGGGTATAATAATAAAAAATAACACTGAATTTGTGGAGAGAGCACAAGCACATGTATGAACGATGCTGCTAGAGTAACCTACTATGCATTGTTTACGTCTTGGCGCTTCAGGGAAAATTGTTCGCAATATTTAAAGTTCGCAACACGAATGTTCATATGTAGGGAAGTCTCTGTATATACATTTTTTAGTCCTAGCTCTATTGCTCACTTAATATACGATAGTGTAAACATGTTATCAGGCTTTTATATGCATTTGAAAGTGAAAAAAGGCGATGTTTCACATCACTGCTTTACAGCAGTAGCCTGGAACCTAACCTGCTGTATAAGCGGGGCTCTCCTGCAGTTCTACATCATCAGCTAACCTCACTCAGATAAGCTACGAGCAGTAAATTTTGGCCTAGATATGAGAAAATGGTCTGCACAGTGAATGTGTACAGTGTAAAAAAAAAAAAAACCTGCCCCATGTGGTGAATAATGGGAAAAGAAAAACTGTTCATGTGTTTGGTTTAAAACAGCTACTTTGAGCTGCTTTTTAGAATGGTTTTATTGGCTGTTTCTTGGTATCATTTGATAGAAAAGAATATGTATTGCTGAAATAGAGATGATTCTGGTTTGTTTCAATAGTGGAATTAGCTTGAAATTGGGCTCAAAGTAGCAAGAGATATTCAATTTTTTTTTATTTTCCTGATCATAGGTAAGGCCTCCCTACACCCCCAATCTGTTTTATGGTTTTCAATAGTACTGATTCAATTACTGGGATGTCATGAACTATGATCAATCATTCCTAGTTATTTTTTTTATCTGAGAAATAGAATAAATCTTCTGTTTTTTGTTTGAGAATGACTTCAAAATGGAAGGCAGGTGTAATATAGAAGAGTCCTAAGGAAGTGATTAATGAACACAGAAAATGTTTTACTTCCAGGAATGTCTACATTATTTACTTTGTACTCTATTTTGAAATTGGTATTTTTTTTATTGTGTAAAACTGGTCAAATTACAGACTTTTGTGTACTTTATAGGGTAGTTGTAATAGATGAATGGATAGTTTCGTGTGCTTAATCAACAGAACATAAGGCACACTAGTGAAATAGCTAAGAATTTGGTAAAATGGAATTTATTTAAAACAGGACTCAAAGTCACCAAAATTGCCAGTTCATAAATTGCACTGAGACAGCTAACTTTACACCAGAGTAATTTCATAAGTTCCCCATCAATTTTCGTTCTTTTGGTGTCATTACCTTTAGAAAAAGTTTCTCTACCATTACAGAAGAATTTTTTTTTAAATGAACACTGGGAGCAATATTAATTTTGGGGGTCTGGACACTGAAAGGGTTAACAGTGACAGAAAGAGTACAGAAATTAAAATTTGCCTACCTGTACAGTATTGGCAGCACCTTTGCCCAGCCCTCCTGACTAGTCACCACATGTATTCTCTTCTCCACTGCCTTTACCGATCTCAGCATCCTCCACGAGCGCACTGCTTTGGCAACAGCTTTGTGATAATAGATAAGCAGCACTACACTCCCCACAATAACAAAATCAACAACTACAGCTGGGTTTTCCTGAATCCACTTCCAGATCATCCTGATTTAAAGTCTGCAATGTTGTGGAAAAAAAAAATATTTAAAAAAGTTATTGAAGTAATATATTTTTAAGTATTATGAATAAATACTGCATTCCAATAGAGTATCTGCCAATTTCACTTACTCTTTTTGTGGGATTTTTCAAGTAGGCTCTTCAATACATTTTTTGTTGAATGTAGAAATAAGTGTCTTACCAATAAAGATATAGTAGTGAACAATAAATTCTTTAAAAAACTGGGAAAAAACTCCACCTCTTCAGCCACAGCTTCATTTGCAAGTTACTCCTAAACTTTAGCTTTGAGCTGGTTGATACCACAACTGGCTTGATATGAAGTAGTAATTTATTCTAGGATTTTTATAACTATGTAAAAAGTTTTTGATGCCTAGCTGCATGCATTAGGCACTGAAAAATTATTTTTACTTCCCCTAGTATCATACTGGTTTTGGTTCATAGCCCTTTAAAATCTGAGAAAATCTGAGTCTGGACACATGTTGGCAATTCTGTTGATATGGTTTAATTTTAGCAGTTTTCTCTCCATTTTTAGTATTTCTAGCCCTTGTGTGCTCCCAACCTACATGTTACCTTGCACCCATGTCCAAGATAAATCTGATTTTGAATAACTAGTAGACTGAATTTTTTGTCAGAAAGCACCATAATTACCAGGAGTAACTAACATACAGGCGTACAACCAAGGAGGATGGAGGAGTGTCGTTCTTCCTGGAAACATTTTGACCCTATGTAAACAACAGATTAAAGGATCTCTCGGATAAAATAAGAGCAAATCATTAAAGTAGAGAGACAGCTTATTGACCAATACATTCTCTTTCCAAGAAAAGGAAAGAAAAAAAAAAAGATAAGGATTAAAAATATGAAATTAAGGCTGTGAGGGAATCAAAGACCAACCAAAAAAATTTCTTTCAGGTATACAATCAAAGACCAACCAAAAAAATTTCTTTCAGGTATACAATCAAAGACCAACCAAAAAAATTTTTCAGGTATACAGGAATAAGATTGGGGTAAATGTAACTCAGGTTAGCTTACTGTTAGTGACACATAAATGTGTAACATTTGTAACACTGAATACCACTCCTGTTTTTACACAAGATAGGAATGAAATCTAAGAAACCATAATTAAACATGCCACAAATAATATGGTCCTCAGGCATCTAGAAAAACCAAATAAGTAACCAGGAAGTGACAAGCTATTTTCAAGAATTCTAAAGGAATGGAAGGAGAAACTTTGCAAACCATTAGAGTGTCTCTTAACATTTCACTATAAACAAGCATTATCCAAGGTAAGGGAAAAATGGCAAGTGTGATACCCATTTACTGTACTAAGTGGGAAACTGAGCCCCACCTTCAAATTATAAACCAATCAGCCTAACTTCAAGAGGGGCTCATTCTTTATGAATTTACTAACCTTCTCACTAAGGTATTTGAGGCAGTAGACCATGATAAAAAAAAAAAATATGATAAGGTATATTGTGCATGTGGACCTTAATAAGGCGTCTGGTAGAGTTCCACAAAGGAGACTGATGAAGTCACACAGGACCTTCATTTAGGGCTGCACCTGCTCAAGGGTTTAAAATGGCACCCCTCTTGAAACAAAAATGACACACTGGGCCCAACAACAGGACTGCAACTGGTATCCCACTTGTACAAACACACACTCCTTTAGGAGCCAGTGGCAGGTCACCATTTGTAAAAGATCAATGTCAGAACAGTGTTCCTGACAAATATACTAAAAATGACAATGACTGATGAAAAAAAATTAGTAGCACATTATACAGGAGAAGAAATTATCTCTTGGGTTAAGGCATGATTGACCAAATAGGGAAAAGAAAGTTTATATAAACGTAGGGAGAAATTATATTGGGGACCCTTCACAAGGTGTGCCATATGGGTCAGTATTGGGACCCTTGTTCTTCAAAATCTACATAAATGACATATATGAGGGTATAAATAGCAACATAAACATGTTAGGTCATCAAATATATTCTGATAAGGAAACTCGCAAACTACAGGATAACATACAGTGGTACCTCGGTATATGTCCTTAATCCGTTCCAGGACCTTGGACTTATACCAAATAGGATGAATACCAAACAAATTTTCCCATAAGAAATATTGGGAAAAGTGATTAATCCGTTCCCATGAGAAAAAATTCTTTTCTTATTGGCATATTATACATTGATGGGGTTGTATAAAATAATTTAAATACTACTTAATACTAAAATATGTAATTTAAACACTGCTTAATACTAAAATGTATACGTGTACATAAATACAAAAGAATTAAATGAAATACAGCAGAACCTCAGCTTACGAGTTAAATCCATTCTGTAACCTTGCTCATATCCCAGTCTGCTCATATGCTGAGTCAATTTTCCCCATTTAAATTAATTGAAATGCCATGAATCCATTTCAGCGGAATTCCTGCTCTCAGGAGGCAGGAGAAAATACTTGTTGATATTACCGGTAATATATGACGGTAATATCAACTCTACGGCTTATTTATCTATCACAATTCATCTGACATAATAAACAAAATAATTAACACAGAAACCTGATATATACTCTAGAATGAATAAAATGTGTCATGTGGCAAGTGGTGGTGACAATTCCTGTACACCTGCTTGTGTCTGTCTATGATTTCATGCTTTACTTCCATGGACATCATCCTCTTTTTCTTCTCAGCACTGTCCTTTGCACTTACTTTCTTAGGACCCATGGTAAGAAAAAAGAAATTTGGAAAAATAATTGCAGAAAATGTAAGCAAAATATGACAGAAATACTTCCACCGTGAGGTACACTGCCATCCCGACACTCCCGACACCACCATCCCAGCTTTCTGTGAATACGTGTTCAGTTCCACTTCTCTCCTACAAGCTAGCTGTGTTTGTGAATTGTGTTTTGACTTACTGACTTACTGAATGACTTACTGACCTGACTGACTAACTTACTGACTTACAGATTGACTTACTGACTTGACTGTCTAACTTTACTGACGAACTTGACTGACTTGATTGACTGAATGACTTACTGACTTGTCTGACTGACTTACTGACTTGACTGACTGACCTACTGACTTGACTGACTGACTGACTTAACTGACTTACTGACTTGACTGACTGACTTACTGAATATTATAATGGGGAAGCATTAAACCCATAGAATTATACAGCACCTGTAGGGGGGAGGGGATGGAAGGTATTCAGGCTAAATTTAGAGAACTGGAGCACAGATACAATTCCCTAGATCAAGAGCCCCTCACCTTGAGGGGGAAGCTCGCATCCTGAATTTTTGTTTGTATCCAGAAACAAAAAATCGACCAAGCAACTGATCGTATCCTGGAGCAGAAAGAAGCAGAAATTAGCAGAAAGGATGAAAGAGGAGCAGAAAATATCAGAAAGCAGCAGAAATTAGCACAAAAGAAAGAAAGTGGTGATGGACAAATTTATTATGTGAGCAATAGGGATTGACAATTCAGAAGCACCATCTTTTAGGAACTTGGATGGAACGTTATCAGGGCCTGTGCTCTTAGTGGGGTTTAACCTGCTTAGTTCTTTTTGTATAAAGTCATGAGATACACTTACTAGTTGACAATTGTTTGGGGTTACCCCTTTATTGGTATAGTATGTTTGAAACTTATCAGTCTGTGTTAAAGGTATTTGATGTAACTGGTAGTTTATTTACTAGTGTTGATGTGACAGAGGTGTAGTAGGAATTAAAACAATTTGCCACCTTAGTTGTTTCGTGGCATACCTCCTTATCGACAGTGAGTACTATGTTAGACCTATCTACTAGTTTATGGCTATACCCCAACTGTTTTAGTTGTTGCCATAGCTTTCTGGGGTTATGCTTATACTCTTCAATTTTTGAGCAATAGTGTTTTGCCTTTGCTCCTTTTATAAGTCTCTGTACTCTGTTCTTCACCCTTTGTAATTCATTTAGTGCTGTAATATCCTGTTTCTTTGTTTTAAATCTTTTTAGCAACTGATCTCTGAATTTCACATTATCTAATATCTCAGTAGTCACCCAGGGTTTGGTTCTCCGTTTAATCCTAACCTCTTTAACTGGTGCAATATTATCAAGGATGGCAGTGAACATTATTCTGAATTTTTCCCCGGCATCATTTACGTCCGTGCAACTTGTTATCACTGTCCAATCACAATTGTGTAGCCTATTTACCAGTGTTTACTGTAGTTTCTAGTTGACCTTTTTTTTATTGTCCTGTGTAGGCCTATCCTATTCCTAGTGATTTTCCTGGTGCAGTAAATGATGAAATGATCGCTAAGGCCTGTGGTAATGACGCCTGACTGGCTAATGTTCTCAGAGCAGTTACAAAGTGTGTGGTCAATTAGGGTGGCTGAGAACTGTGTGATCCGGGTTGGTGTATTAATTAGTCGAGTGTAACTATTTAAACCTAGAATTTGCTTATACCTTTCGCATAGCCCTTTATTTTGCTGCTGAAAACAGATATTGAAGTCTCCCAGTATTACTGTCTCGCAATTGTTTTCAAGTCCGGGCAAGACTCTGGAAAAGTCTTCTAAGAACTGGTCCTGGGAGGGAGGGCAGTGACTAGTTCCTACTAAGATGAGTTTGGTCTTGGAAAGCAGCACTTCAAACCACAGAATCTACAGTTTACTGCTATTTAAATCAGGTCTTGGGTAGTAAGCTAAGTCATTTCTTATGTAGGCACATACCCCACCACCTTTTCTGTTCCTATCTAAGCGTTTTATATTGTAACCTTCTATTTTTGACCTCATCAGTCACTGTGTCATCCAACCATGATTCAGAGATGGATATAACTGCCGCCCTAGTTCTGTTAGCTAAAATCCTGTTGGGTTTTTATTGTCCAGGGTGCTATTACCCCATTTACCTTTTCCAGCCCCCATGACTGATTTCCTTCTTCACGGAATTGCAAGAGAAAGATAAATATAATTATGGCAGCCTGTACCCCCTAACGCCTGCCATTTTCACTCTTCACTCTTTTAATCACACACAACTACGTTGCCTGAAATATTCTGCGTAACCAGGGACTTTCTATATAGTATATCAGTGATGTCAGCTATGGTCTGTATAAGCTGTATCATGTACTTGCAGAAATAATGATTACTATTATTATTATTATTATTATTATTATTATTTATACCATGAGCTGCTACTCTTATTATTAAGTCTTGTGTGTGGAACTCTATTGAAAGCCTTACTGAAATCCAAATGAAGATATACTCTTTATTGTTACCCACTGCCTCACATTCAGGAGGGACATGAGGGACATGATAACAGCATATAAAATACCAAGAGGAATCAACAAGGTGGAGAGAGACAGGATGTTCCATAGATGGGACACAGCAACAAGGGGTCACAATTGGAAGTTGAAGACTCAGATGAGCCACAGGGATGTTAGGAAGTATTTCTTCAGCCATAGAGCTGTCAGGAAGTGGAATAGTCTGGAAAGAGAGGTAATGGAGGCAGGATCCATACATAGCTTGAAGAGGTATGATAAAGCTCATGGAGCAGGGAGTGGACCTAGTGGCAATCAGTGAAGAGGCCGGGACAGGAGATGTGAATCGACCCATGCAACCACAAATAGGCGAGTACAAGGACCCCCAATGGAAATAAGTCACTTTGACTTTTCTGGGTTATCCTAGGTTATTTACAGGTTATTACCTATGATCATTGTAGTTACGTGTACTTGTACCTAAATAAACTTACTTACTAAATTCACCAATGTGTGAAAAAACATGTGTTGAGTTTCCTGAGCGAGTGTGACCAACCAACACGGACGTACTTCCAACCCTGTCTTATCTACACCCACTTATTTATGCTAGTGGGCGGCCTACTGGCACACCTTGCTACACACCTGTAATAGAAACACCTGCCGTCTGTTGTACCGTCTACCACACATATGCTTGGCGAGGCCCAGGTTAACACTATCATCTGCCAGGTTTCATCATACCTGGTAATGTTAACATCACCACCAGCCACAACCTCCCTGGTACCGCCACGTTTGTTTACCTTCCCCCCTCCCATCCCCTACCCCTTCCCCCCACAACCACCCCACCAATTCCCCCAAACACCACCACCCCACCCCTTCCCCCAACCACCACCCCACCCCTTCCCCAAACAACAACCACCCCACCCTTTCCCCCGACAAACCCCCCACCCCTACCCACCCACCACAACCACCCCACCCCTTCCACCCAAAACCACCCCACCAAATATCCCCTCCCCCACCAAAAGACAACAACCCCCCTACCACCGCCTTCCCACCACCACCTCAGTGTTGCCATCACTATATAGTAAGTATGTAAGTAAGTGTTTGTAGATGAATGGTTCAGAGAACCGACATGTTGATAAATAAAGATACCCAAGAGTTGCACATGTGTCTAATTTATCAACATGTCGGTTCTCTGAACCATTCATCTACAAACCTGTCAGACACTGCAACTTCTTGGGATCTTAATACTTGGGATTTCTTCGCTTGCCTAATTCTTGGGCACGACCTACTTCAACATTGAACAAATGTTACACGACCTATGACTTCTGCACCTCTCCTGCCAACGGTTTATAAGCTCCTTCTCAGCACGTATGCCGTATTCTATTCAAGATTGATGGACTGACCACATCGACTCAAGGTTGAGGGACTGATTACCTCATTCTCCTCCTGTTCTTCAAGATTCTCCTTTGTATGGACTGATGAAGCCACTGTGTGGCGAAACGTTTCCTCAATAAAGATACCCAAGAGTTGCACATGTGTCTAATTTATCAACATGTCGGTTCTCTGAACCATTCATCTACAAACCTGTCAGATTGAACATTAAAATGGTATAAAATACCGACAGGTTGTTAGGTAAGACACATATGCAACAGTTAGGTATCTTTATTATGAAACGTTTCGCCTACACAGTAGGCTTCTTCAGTTAAGTACAGAAAAGTTGATAGAAGCAGAAGATACTTGAAGACGATGTAATCAGTCCATCACCCTTAAAGTTGTGAGGTGGTCAGTCCCTCAGTCTGGAGAAGAGCATTGTTCCATAGTATGAAACAATATGGAGAAGAAGTGACAGGATGGAGCTTTTTATAGCGCCAAGAGGTGAGACGTAGGCCACTAGGAGAGGTAAGAAATCAGATGTTGAGAGGTCAGGTCCCTCTCAAATCCAGCCCCTCTCATTAGTGGAAGTTGTCGAAGTTGATTGCAGGTCTGTACCAAGATACCCTTGTGTTGCAGTGTCTGACAGATTGAACATTAAAATGGTATAAAATACCGACAGGTTGTTAGGTAAGACACATATGCAACAGTTAGGTATCTTTATTATGAAACGTTTCGCCTACACAGTAGGCTTCTTCAGTCAAGTACAGAAAAGTTGATAGAAGCAGAAGATACTTGAAGACGATGTAATCAGTCCATCACCCTTAAAGTTTTGAGGTGGTCAGTCCCTCAGTCTGGAGAAGAGCATTGTTCCATAGTATGAAACAATATGGAGAAGAAGTGACAGGATGGAGCTTTTTATAGCGCCAAGAGGTGAGACAACTTCGACAACTTCCACTAATGAGAGGGGCTGGATTTGAGAGGGACCTGACCTCTCAACATCTGAGTTCTTACCTCTCCTAGTGGCCTACGTCTCACCTCTTGGCGCTATAAAAAGCTCCATCCTGTCACTTCTTCTCCATATTGTTTCATACTATGGAACAATGCTCTTCTCCAGACTGAGGGACTGACCACCTCAAAACTTTAAGGGTGATGGACTGATTACATCATCTTCAAGTATCTTCTGCTTCTATCAACTTTTCTGTACTTGACTGAAGAAGCCTACTGTGTAGGCGAAACGTTTCATAATAAAGATACCTAACTGTTGCATATGTGTCTTACCTAAAAACCTGTCAGACACTGCAACTTCTTGGGATCTTAATACTTGGGATTTCTTCGCTTGCCTAATTCTTGGGCACGACCTACTTCAACATTGAACAAATGTTACACGACCTATGACTTCTGCACCTCTCCTGCCAACGGTTTATAAGCTCCTTCTCAGCACGTATGCCGTATTCTATTCAAGATTGATGGACTGACCACATCGACTCAAGGTTGAGGGACTGATTACCTCATTGTCCTCCTGTTCTTCAAGATTCTCCTTTGTATGGACTGATGAAGCCACTGTGTGGCGAAACGTTTCCTCAATAAAGATACCCAAGAGTTGTGCAAGAAAGGTATAAAATACCGACAATATGAAAGTTAAGACACATGTGCAACATCTGGATATCTTTATTGTAGACGTTTCGCCATCCAGTGGCTTTATCAATACAGATTCTAGGACATAATAGGAAGACAGTAGAACTATATACAAAAGATGAGGTAATCAGTCCCTCGGCCTTGGAGTTAGTGTTCACAGCATCGTGGTGGAGGAGAATCTGGAGCAAAGGCAAGAAGACTGGCGGTTTTATAGGCGTCAGTGGATAAGGACGGGCAGCAGAAGAGGGCAGTCACTGGTAGGCGGGATTCCCCAGTTTACCTGGAGAGAGTTTCGGGGGTCAACGCCCCCGCGGCCCGGTCTGTGACCAGGCCTCCTGGTGGATCAGCGCCTGATCAACCAGGCTGTTGCTGCTGGCTGCACGCAAACCAACATACGAGCCACAGCCCGGCTGATCAGGAACTGACTTTAGGTGCTTGTCCAGTGCCAGCTTGAAGACTGCCAGGGGTCTGTTGGTAATCCCCCTTATGTGTGCTGGGAGGCAGTTGAACAGTCTCGGGCCCCTGACACTTATTGTATGGTCTCTTAACGTGCTAGTGACACCCCTGCTTTTCATTGGGGGGATGGTGCATCGTCTGCCAAGTCTTTTGCTTTCGTAGTGAGTGATTTTCGTGTGCAAGTTCGGTACTAGTCCCTCTAGGATTTTCCAGGTGTATATAATCATGTATCTCTCCCTCCTGCGTTCCAGGGAATACAGGTTTAGAAACCTCAAGCGCTCCCAGTAATTGAGGTGTTTTATCTCCGTTATGCGCGCCGTGAAAGTTCTCTGTACATTTTCTAGGTCGGCAATTTCACCTGCCTTGAAAGGTGCTGTTAGAGTGCAGCAATATTCCAGCCTAGATAGAACAAGTGACCTGAAGAGTGTCATCATGGGCTTGGCCTCCCTAGTTTTGAAGGTTCTCATTATTCATCCTGTCATTTTTCTAGCAGATGCGATTGATACAATGTTATGGTCCTTGAAGGTGAGATCCTCCGACATAATCACTTCCAGGTCTTTGACGTTGGTGTTTCGCTCTATTTTGTGGCCAGAAGTGGAAGTAGGTCCTTCCCAAAGAGATGGGTTAGTTGCAGAAGCCGTGAAGAAGGTCTTGTAGATGTCCTCTGAACCAAGATTCCATGATGTTGCAGTGTCTGACAAGTTGTGCAAGAAAGGTATAAAATACCGACAATATGAAAGTTAAGACACATGTGCAACATCTGGATATCTTTATTGTAAACGTTTCGCCATCCAGTGGCTTTATCAATACAGATTCTAGGACATAATAGGAAGACAGTAGAACTATATACAAAAGATGAGGTAATCAGTCCCTCGGCCTTGGAGTTAGTGTTCACAGCATCGTGGTGGAGGAGAATCTGGAGCAAAGGCAAGAAGACTGGCGGTTTTATAGGCGTCAGTGGATAGGGACGGGCAGCAGACGAGGGCAGTCACTGGTATTCAAGGCGGATTCCCCAGTGGAAGTAGTCTTCCCAAAGAGATGGGTTAGTTGCAGAACCCGTGAAGAAGGTTTGTAGATGCCTCTGAACAAGATTCCATGATGTTCAGTTTTGAAAAGTTGTGCAAAAAAGGTATAAAATCCCGAAAATATGAAATTTTAAAGACACTGTGAACATCTGGATATCTTTATTGTAGTCGTTTCGCATCCAGTGGCTTTATAAATACAGATTCTGGGGACATAATAAAAAAAACCCAGTAGTATATAAAAAAGATGAGGTAATCTTCCCTCGGCCTTGGATTTTAGGTTCCAGCATCTACAAGACCTTCTTACGGCTTCCCTGAACAACCCTCTTTTTGGGAAGGCCCTACTTCCACGGGGAAAATCCCCCTACAGTGACTCCCCTCGTTGCTCCCCGCCCTTTCCATGCGCCTAAAAACGCCAGTCTTTTTTCCCTTTGCTCCAGATTCTCCTCCCCACGATGCTGTGAACCTAACTCCAAGCGGGGGGATGTTTTCCCTCATCTTTTTGTAATAGTTCTACTGTCTTCCTATTATTCCTAGAATCTGTATTGTAAGCCATGGAGGCAAAAACGCTACAAAAAAGAACCCAGAGTTGCACATGTGTTTTAAATTTTTCAATTATCGGTATTTTATACCTTTTCTTGCAAAACTTGTCAGACACTGCAACATCGGATCTTGGTTAGAGGACATCTAAAGCCTTCTTCAGGGGCTTCTGCAACTAACCCATCTCTTTGTGAAGGACCTATTTCCACTTGGGAATCCCGCCTACCAGTGACTCCCCCTGTCTGTGCCCCCCCTATCCACTGAGCCTATAAAACGCCAGTTTTCTGCCTTTGCTCCAGATTCTCCTCCCCCACGTGGGGAAACACAACTCCAAGGCCGAGGGATGTTACCTCATTTTTTGTATATTTTTTCTACGTTTTTCTTTTATGCCCTAAAAATCTGTATTGATAAAGCCAGGGATGGCGAAACGCTACAATAAAGATACCAGATGTTGCACATGTGTTTTAACTTTCAACCCCAAGATTTGTAAAGTAAAAGGAACAAGTGCAACTATGTGACATTTTTTGTGGCAAACGTTTCGCTCTCCGGGAAAGCTTTATCAAGCCCCTGGAGACGAAACGTTGCCACAATAAATGTACATTAGTTTCACTTGTGTCCTTTTACTTTACATATTGTCGGTAATTTACCAACTTTATTCATACCCAAGAGTTGCACATGTGTCTAATTATCAACTGTCTTTTTCTGAACCCTTCATCTCAAACCTGTCAGAAAGCAATTCTTGGGATTTAAAAATTGGGGGTTTTTTCGCTTGCCCAATTCTTGGGGAC